CGCACTTTGTATTAGAACTTTCATCTGCTTATATCTTTTTTAGTTTTAAAGTGGAGATAAAGGTGTAATTTTATGAAATAGTGTACATGCTTACACTTATGCCAATACCTTGATTTCTCATTCTCATAAAGAATACATATTTGTGCACAGATGAGTTGAATTTCGGAGTTAGAAAAAGATTATTTAGGAAGTAATTTAAAGTGATGAAGTGGGTGTCATGTCAAGTACAGATGTTTATAAGATGTCGGGGGTGATTTATGTTTTTTTTTCTGATTGGCTGAGGACAGAGCCAATGAGATACGGATACAGCAGGGCCACAAATGACAAGGGCAGAGATATGTTTTTTTAATGAAGTAACAGCACTCTAACATGTTTTAAAGCTCACAAGTCCATGTTGTGCAATATAGGAACCGTAAACAAGTCACTTTCTTAAACAAAGAAGCAAGAATTTGAGAAAAAAAGTGGAATCTGACCTGCAAAATTAAGGCCACTGTATATAACATTTCAGCCAAAAATAGACTAAAATAAAAGCATGTATTTTGTTTTCATTTTTGTTGTCTTCATTGCACTTTAAAAAACGTGTCCTTACGAGGTACATACATATTATTTTCATATATCGGGTAGGGATGGTTCGATACAGATAACCGATACCACCAATACAGATTTTAACTCTACTCATACTAATGTAAAAATGTTAAAAGAAAAAAATTCTAATAACCGTGACTACAGCTGTGCTTCCCGTCAAAAGCTCTATTATAATCTAAATACATTTACTTTATGCAGTTCAGAGAGGACACAAGTAGGAACGTGGTCTATGCTTTTTGCATCCAATTATTCAATGTTCCAATCTCTTCTGTTCTTTTTATAAATTGCACAGTTCTTGATATTTGCAGTTGGCAGGTTCACGCTTAAACTACACAAGTTACATTTTCTCAAACTTTTTAGTCATTGGCAGATTTAAAGTGATTGCACCTGACTTTTTACTGTCTTAAAACGTGAAAAAAATGCAACTAGTTCATTTTAGGAGGTCCAAACAACTAGCAGGCTAACAGCGCACCAGACTTACTCCCTGGTTTGCGGATGATAAAAGCACTTTATAATTAGATTTGATGATAAGAAATGACTTCTTGCACCAATAATTACTCTAATCACAAAGTAAATAAATAAATAAATTTATTAATTAAAGTATGGTGAATGTAGCTTGCCTAAGAACACAAAAGCAGTATGCAGTTGCAGAAATTGAACTACCAACTTGTTTGCTTAATGGGCAAGCACTGTTCACATATTTGTTTTAAGTCATAAGTCTGTGTGGTGATGGTTGGATAAACTTTAGGCCTGGGGTTGCAGTCACTTGCTCCCTTACATGCTCCGCTATTAGTTTAAAAATGATTTGGTGGAGGATTCCATTACTGTAAAATAATATTACTCAAGTAGAAGTATAAAGTAATGGTCCAAGAAAGTACTTTAAAGGATAGACACAAAACTGCGACAAACTAAATCATATCTGAAGGAGCGGTGCAAGATGTTCAAATCATTTCATATTGTCACATAAAGCTTTTGTCACATGTAGACTTGCTGTATTTTTCGGACTATAAGGCACACTTAAAATCACTTAAAGTGCGCTTTATAATCCAGTGAGCTTTATGTATTACTGATGGTTGTGTTTACTGACCTCGAACTGATTTTATGTGGTACACAATGCTCAAAAATCTGCCAAATCTTCCGTAGTCAGGAGCTTCGCGGAGTAAAGAACAAAGTATAGTTCTGCATAAGCATTTATGAAATCACTGAAATGCTACAGAGAATATGTCTATTCATATATACGATATATGCGTATGACCTGAAAACTTTCACATGAACCATTTCCAACACGATAAAAGCACAGAACAGACTCACCATCAGCATTATCAACATCCCTCCATTACAGAAAGAGCACTCTTATTCCACTGAGTCGTGTCCTTTAGTCCGGCAGAAGCTGGTCACATCTGTGCACAAGGAGCGAGCTGTTTTTTTCAGCGCTTATAATTTATCCAAATGAGCCATGCGGTTTTAAGTTTAATTTCTGTAAAACATAAACAAATGTGCGCAAAGCTGCATTAAACACATTATTACACAATGTATATTTGAGTCGTCCTCATAGAAAATAAAGAAAAAACAAACTTAAATGATTCACCCACATTCACGAATTCATAAACCACATTCCAAGACAGGGAGGCAAGACCGGGCGAATTACACCACGATCTGCCAATGGATCGTGGACGCCTGGACCAAGGATCAGTCTCAAGTGTCGTCCGTTTGTTTCGCTTAAAGCGTCTTATAATCTAGTGCACCTTATGTATGAAAATAGACGAGAGAATTCAACATAATTGATATTGCGCCTTATAATGCGGTGCGCCTTATAGTCCTAAAAATACGGTACTTACTTTTACTCAAGTAAGAGTACTGTTACTTCAAACTAAAGATTACTTTAATAAGAGTATAAGTATGCTGTCGGGAAAACTACTCCAAGATGTTAAATTTCTTTAAAAAGATTCTCAAGCACATGCAGCTGAGTCAATGTTACCTGCCTCTGGATCATATTAGTAGTAGTAATAATACTTTTTACTACTTAAATCAAAGTACTTTCATGACACAACTTGCATTCAACTTTTGACATTTGGTTGCTAGTTTAATTCCCTGGTAGAACACATCCCAAACTTACTCTCCGTTACATAAGGTCACCGTTCATTTGTACTGCGCCTATCTTCTCAGCACCTCCGGCATGTGCCACCTCAGAGACCGCAATAAGCAACTGATCTGCTAGCGTACGGATATCCACGGGGATTATGGGTAAGGGAGCGGGAGGAGGAGGAGGAGGTAAGGGGGTGTCTGGAGGTAAAGGTTGCTGCTTTTGAGAATGTATTGCTGAGGTGGCATTGCTGTGAAGAATCAGCAGGGGTATTTATTGCGCTTTGGTTGGATTTTTTTTTTCTTAAGGTACAGTGTGATAGCAGACAGTGAATTAGCTCTGCTCGCCTTTCATGATTGGGTACAAAGAGTGAGACATGGCTGACTCAACTGATGCTTAAGTTTGGGAAGTTGAATGTGACTGGCAGGGTGTCTGAAGAAGTTGTAGTAAAAGTAACTATAGAATTTCAGCGTGCTACCTTTTGTGACAGTATTTTGAGATTTACACTACCAAACGTTTGGACACACCCTCTCAATCTGTGTTTTTTTTTCTTTATGCTGACTTACTTTACATTTTATATACTGTACATAGAGAAGACATCAAATATATGACACAATATGTATGGATTATGGAGTAAAAAGTTAAAATAGCCACCCTTCACTTTGTTGACAATTCAGCCAACCCTTACCATAGAGACAAAACAGTCTTATTCCATTGACTGTAAACAACAAGATTTTGTAATTGTGGCACCAAAATGGTATTCATATATTGGAGGACTGTTTTGAAAAAAAGATCATTAATGTCCTTTGAAAAACTAAAAGAAAAATACAGCTTACCAAATAATACATTCTTTTGTTACCTTCAACTATGATCATTTCTTACTAGTAATCTGGGTCGTACTATATTATTGCCCAAATTTACAGCATTTGAAAGGTTGTTACATGATGGTGGATCTTATAAATTTATTTCTAAGATGTAAACTTTGTTGATAAATGAATGTCCTAAACCAGCCTTGTATCGGTCTAAGGAGAGGTGGGAATCAGACTTAAACACTACAATTGAAGATAATATATGGGCGAATTTATGTCAAGATAGTTTATCTGCCACCACTAATGCTCGATATAGACTTATACATTATAATTTCCTTCATCAGTTATATCTAAAACCAGAAAAAATTCATAAGACAAAGTCAGATTTTTCTGATCAATGGTTCTGATGTTCTGTAAAATTGGGCTCATTTTTGCATTGCACCTGGACATGTGTCAAAGTAAAAATTTTCTGGTTTGACTTTTGCCAAGCCATATCCACAATCACAAAAACTTCAATACCTCTTGATCCTGAATTTTGCCTACTTGGAAGTTTTGAGAAAATTTAACCATTAAATAAATATTAAATACAATTTTTAGAAATTTCATTGGCAGTGGCAAGAAAATGCATTAGAGTCACCTGGAAGTCTGACTCCCCCCTCCCATTACAAGATGGTAATCACTTATAGCCTCAGAAAGGCTTACAACACCTTTGTTAGAATATGGCAGCCTTACTTGGATTATGTGAATGTCACCTCAACTGACCTCTGTGTGTGAGAAGCATCTTCCCTCCATTTTTTTTTTGCCTTTACTGAGAAGCTACAATGTCATGGAATCATGAAATTAAAGAAGAAAAATCACTGAAAAAGTGTGTCCAAACTTTTTGACTGGTAGTTTATGTACCAACATGTATTTTAATCTACATCAGTTCAGCTACATCACTTTTGAGGTAAGACTGAAACTGAAGCTGAACTTTGAGCAGTTTTGCTTGGTGGTTATACAACAAACCATCTGAACCACCGTGGCCCATTGCCCACTCGTGTAACTTTAATGAGAAACTAACTTGAGAAGGCATTGCTTGCTTAACCTTAAACATATCTTTGTCCATGCACACTAAAAGTTGATGCCACCACGTCAAGTTACAGGTCAGATCTGAGGAGAGGCAACCAGTCTCACAGTAAATATATAAATAATACATGTTTTTCAAGGTATTTCTAACAGTAAAAAAGCTCTAAATGAATACGGGCAAGGTAGAGGAGTTTAATGCCATACTGTGGAACATTCCAGGCAAAGCAAATTAATTGATTACAGCTTTGTTGGTTTGTTGAAACAAATCTTCTGGTCAATAAGATAAAAAAAGAAGCTTCAGTGCTCCATATTCATGGGTTGCAGATTCATTGTGAGGGCTACACAGAAAGGAAATATAAGATCCGGGACTTGAACCTGGAACCTATTCCTTCCCAACATGACCCTTTATCTGTATTGAATTAGTAATTTGGTTTTTTTTCTTTTCCTTTCTTTTCCAGGACCCATGGCTTACAGGTGAACCGCCTGGAGCCTGGAGGCAAAGCGGAGCAGGAGCGACTGTTTCAGGAAGGAGACACCATCGTCAAGATCAACCAGGCTGATATCCGCAACCTGCGCTTCGAACAGTGAGTTAGCCTATACCTGTGTTTCCAACAACAAGCTTTTCTGCTTTGGGAATCTGCCTTGGAATGTTTACGCTTCACAAGAAAAGTATAAACAAAACACTTACATGATCCACTCACAGAGTTACACAACACATTCACACAGACAAGGTGGGTCTAGTGCTTGTACAGAAATAAGAGAATGTTGGTTGTAAAAATCAGTATCAGGAATTGAACTGCCATTCTTTGAACAAGTGGAAAAGAAGATCTGCAAACCAAGGAACTGCCCTAATCTTCATTAAACAATTTTTTGGTGTTGGTGTTGATTGGATTAGATTGCTTTGGTAAACAATATGAATATGAAGAAACTTGGCAATGCTGATCAAGTAATACAAATAAAAACATATTTTTAATATTTTGTAATCATTAACTCAGTCTTTAACATTGTCTTCCCAACGTCATTGAAAACCAAACACACGTCTCCCACTGATTCATAGTGCCTTTAATTTTCTAAAGTGGGGGGAGATATAAGCCAGGGTCACTGTGTACTCACTCAAGTCCATACAAATACAGACTTATTTAAGCTCCACCTGAGTCCAACACATAGACTATATAAGAAGTGGACTAAGTGAGTGTGACATCACCCATAGCGTTCTGCTCCAGTCAAATGAAGCTAACAATGCTAGTGCTTATAGGGGCGAATTTGGAGCCAGGTTGATATTATGAAGAGGATTTTTTAACTGACAAAAAAGTGGGGAAAAACCCCCCCCAAAAAAAACATCAGGATTATGTAGAACGGATTAATACGAATATTTTAAGACCAAAACTATGACTCACAGCAGCAGCTGCAGAGAGAGGAGACACAATATTCCAATGTAAGTCAATGAGAGCCAGGGTCAGTAGGAGCCGGAAGAGCTGCATGTGAACTTAGTATTTGAAACGTGGCTGCTAGCACGTTAGCTATGTCCATTTATATATATACAGTCTATGGTCCAACATGAGTAATATTATCTTACATCTTAGAAGCTTAAATCTGCACTGAGACATTTGAAGAGCCTAAATTTATATCAAATTCTTCATGTTAATCTACATGGCCTTTTAATGCAATTCCATCGGATACTGTATCCTCTTACATAACTGTTGCATAATGGCATATGTAACTTTTTTGGTGAAGGGTCTGCCACTGCCTTCATGGAGATGTTGTTGCTTGGCCAAAAATGAATAAAGTGCTTCCCTCTGTCTGTTTTTTGTGATCAATCAGGACCTGTCACATGCAAACGCTTTATCTGGAGCTGAACAAGACAGACTCTCAAGAGTTTTTTCTCAAGACTAGCTGAAGGTCGCACCTGTACGTTTGTTGGCAACAAAATAACCAGTGCTCTTACCATCAGGACCTGTTAACCCTGCTTTAGATTAGTTGCTGCTGTCGGCAGCACTAGGCTATGGTAAAAGTTTCAACTGGGCAGTGTTGCCAGATCCTCAAAAGCATAATGTTATACTGAAAGCCCAAATTCATGGCTGTATTTTGGTCTAAATGACCGTACAGTACTGAAATATTGGCAATATCCTGCTGTGAGGGCTTTGCTAAGGGCTGTGCGGTCCTGAATACTCGTTTTATGTGCAGTTTATGTGCATTTTGCATGGGCTTTGCCTACTTACTATTAGGTTTAATTTGTGCACTACATATTTGTCTGCATGGGAGGGGCATAACTTGTGTCTCGAGTGTTTGTACCAGTCCAAAGAGTTATGTGATCTAAGATTGTCCATTGTGACTCTGTTCAGACTTGTTGATTGTCGTGCATGGTTCAGACTTGTTGTTATAGTGCCACATACTAGTACTTGTAGGAAAAGATAATCATTCCTCAGTAAGATGGAGAAAGTGGATGAATTCGGTGCAGTGCAGAAGTTACTGATCGAAATACATAAAAATGTGGACATTTACACGACCCTCATTGTGGTTTTTGCCTACCATCTTATCTATGAAAAGGATTTCACATGCAGCTGCCAACCTGAACATCATCGGGACTTGTGCTTCATGTACCTGTTTCTTCCATGGGTTCTGATCGCTTTTCTGCTGCTGTGGATTGGCAAACGCTTTCACAGAGCCTGCCTCAAATGCTCTCGACTGACATGTGATTCCAATACTGAATACACTGGAGAGGATGGAAGGAATGGTAGCCAGAACACTATAAAGTATTGCTGCCTTTGCTGCAGGATTTACCTTAAGAAGGCTTGCTGTCACCTCACATTCTGGATAGGAGTGGTCCACTTCTTCCGAGCTCTCTCTGTGAGTACTATCTGGATAGTGTCAGTGCTGGTGGATGGAGACTGGTTTGCTGCAGGAACGATGGATCAGACTACCAGATACAAATTGCTTGTCACAATGGGCTGAAGTTGAATAGCACTGAAAAACTAATTGTTGATAAATTGAAGAATCAGTCACGTGTAAGTGTTTTTGATATTCGTCAGCTACCAAACAGAGAAATAGTCTTTTAACCTTTTACATATGTTTTGTTGTTGTTGTTCTGTCTTTTTTAGGTCGATGCTTTCATAGCACTTGCAGTATTAGCAGCTGTTTTAATTATCATTTCGTGCATCTGCACCTTTTGTTGCCAACTTGACACAAGAACTGCTGATATGATTCTGGAAAAAGAAGAAAGTGTGGTTGTAGAAAGTTGGGAAAAGATAGCAGAGACAGAAAAAGAGAAATGTTTGACTGATATTGAAAATGGTCATGGGAAGAAGTATCTCAGAGATGTGGATTTGTTCAATTGGAAGGATGGGACATTATCAAATATTCAAAGGGAGGGCTTTCCCCTCCATGGGAGTAGAACCATCCACTTCAGCCTTCCACCTCCACAAGAAGGAGCATTCACCTACACACAGGGAGGAGCATCCACGTCCACACAGGGAGGAGCATCCACGTACAGACGGGGCAGAGAGACAGATTCTATCTCTTTTGAGGAAGAAGAGACCATACCTTTAGTTCGAATGGTACCATTTTTCAGATCATTTTGTGTATAGTTTGGTATATTATTTCCTGTAGTGTTCTTAACTCATGATGTTTCTTTTTTATAGAATAAACCTTGATGTAAGAAGTCAGAAGAATATTTAATCAGTCCAGCCATTAAAAAAAATCTGCACAGTGATCGTGTTCCACATACTGTAATCTGCAATATTTCAGTCCACACTTTGTGATGACTTTTTACTTTTTACTGTTTAATTTATCACAAATTATGAATAATCTAGTGAGATCAGCTGTTACCAACTTACTGACCCCATTTAGATGAGGTAAAATCCTTGTTAAAGGTCACTAATGACTGTGTAAACATTTCAGTGTTTTTTTAGGTCATATTTAGCATGTAAAAATGTCATTAAAGCTAATGGTTAATCAAGTTTCACTTAAGATTTCTGAATTTGTGTGCGTCGGGTCATCCAGTGACAATAAACCTCCTCTTTCACATGTGACTGTGATAGATGATAAACAATATCAGGAAATAAACACGTTCTATGCTTTAAAATGTGATTGCCTTTACCATTTGATGCTACTCAGCAGATGTAACACATCAAGTCTCCAGTGCATGGCCTTAAGTGTTTAATAATAAATCCACATCCAGTCACAGTCTGTAGTGCATGTAAGGCTAAAGCCAAACAGATAATATGAACCAAACTCCACCAACATCCTCCTCCTCATCGGTCCTGGTAAAACCATAATTCACAAATAAAGAGGTGTAGTACATATCCAGTTTGGAGCGCGTGTGTATAGATGCAACCAGGGGAGTCCGTGTACAGTTCTCCATATTCCTCCTCTTTCATTCAGGTAACCACATAGTAAAAGAGTAAAAGGATTTAGCAAAACAAAGAGCATGTGCTCCGCAGTGATGTATTTATATATAGTGTATATGGAGAAAACAAAAGTGAAACTTAAGTGTCAGTCCATGTGAGGATCAACTGTGCTCTGGTACATTTGCATATGGACATTATATCTGAACATCGAATGGTGGCCCCAAGCGAACTGTGCGAACTTTGACTGTGTTTATATTTTTTCATTAATGTGTAAATTACTCAAAAACTTGTTAAAATAATATTCTGTATATTTATCTTTCTCTCAACAATGAATCAAGTTTTTTGGTAGATTCATTCATTCATTTCGTTCCTTCTGTGTGCAGATTGAGTTAAATAATTGTTTTTGTGAGGCCATGGTGTGTGTGCACTATGGGCTCACAATATGTGTCCACCACTTCCTGTTTCTGAACAAAACCACAGGAAGATGCTAAAGCATGTAGGCAGAAGGTAAACAAACCTCCAGTCTGAATTATTACCACACCATTGTTTTGTATCAGCAGTTGTTTGATTCATCCAAGAGAAACACTTTTAAAATCAAACAATGTACAGTTATATCTGTTTTCTAACTTTTTTTACATATTCACCTTGAGTGTCTTGCTTTAAAGGACACTTATATGTGGCTTTACTTCTCATTCAAACATGCTTTTGGTCACCTTGGGAAAAGTATTTCACATTGCCTAATAATGTAGAATGTGGAATGTGGACATTTGGCAAATATACTTTTTAAGTAATCAGAAAGTAAACAATTTAGATTCACATCCCCCACAAATGCTTTTCAATTCAGTTCGTCAGTCTGCAGCCTTTGTAGACTGGCTTTTCTATAATTAGTCTAGAGGTGGGCAGTGTACAGTGATGTACTACTAGTATATAATATGATACGTATTTACACTGTAACTGCTACAGATGTTCATTAGAAATTCCTATAATATGCAAAAAAGACTTGTAATCTTTAAGTCATGTTATAATGTTATCTCCTCAAAAACTGACCTGGAGTTGTGTTTTGTTTCATTCACACATGTTTGAGTAATCCTGCATTGTTAGTCTGTGTACATCTCTGAAGCTCAGAATACTCTGTTCCACATTGTGATGTTATGAAGAGGTAGTTTTCAATTTCACTTCTTTGGTGTATGGAGTAAAAACACAGTGGGGGACTTCCTGTATTACCATGTGACATCACAAGGTGGAGTGTTTTCTGTTAAAGAGAAGGATCTGTTTTAAACATGTGTGAACGAAACAAAACTCCGGGTAACTTTCTGATGAGAGTATAGAGTAAGTAAATAGAGCCATGTGTTTATAATTTGACTGCAGAATGAATGTGGGTTTAAAAGCTGCCAAGTCTGGACTTTTACCTACAATGCAACAAAATTGTCAAAATGTGAATTGAGCTTTTTGAGTCTTCCAAGAACACACAAAAACCAACTCCAGGTATGGTTGTAATGAGGCCCAGCTATATGTATTTAGCAAAAGTCAAAAATGTTAATTTTGCATACTGTGTGTTCTGTAAGTCTATAAACCATCACCATACTTGTGCTGAGGCGTTGTTTTTAACGTGGCATTTCTGCTGTGGTTTTACTTCCTCTTTCAGCACTCACATTTGCTCACTGGATACACTGCGTAGGTATTTATCACATTGTGGGAACTACAAAGACTTAATTTAGGGCCTCAGTTGCTTCTTATCGAATCAACAAGTTCAGATATGTTTTACAATAGGTTAAGGTTCAGGTTTAGGTAAAGGTTTGGAAAGTAGTAACTATTGTTACCTCCGCCAAGGAGGTTATGTTTTTGCCGGCGTTTGTCTGTTTGTTTGTTTGTTTGTTTGTTTGTCTGTTAGCAACATAACTCAAAAAGTTATGGACCGATTTTGATGAAATTTTCAGGATTTGTTGGAAATGTGAAAAGGAAGAAATCCTGGATTCTGGATCACTTTGAAATTTTAGTTAACATTGTGGTAAATGGGGCCAAAAATTTTGTTTCTCAATATCTCGGTTAATTATTGACCAAACCCCATGAAATTTGACTCAGGGATGGACAATGGGATCCTCTTTCATATTCCAAAGGCTGATCCGGATCTGATCCAGAAGACTGATTTTATCACAATTTATATAAAAAATGGGGGTAGTCCTTGGCTGAGGTCTGCTTTTCTAGTTAAGATTAAGATTGTTCTCCAGGAAATGAATGCAAGTTACTGTAATGTCACCCATAAGACACGAAAACCCACGAGTGAGAAGGTGTTCTTTGATCAGAGACGAGCAGCCTGTGGTTAAGTCTGTATAGACATGTTTCTATTTTACTCTATGCAAACCTTGTATTGTTTGCATTTCGAGAGACTCAGACTCAGAAGAAAGACCTCACTACGCAGTAAGATGGCAGTGAAAGTAGGAATTCTCAAAGAAGTGCTAAAATTACTGAAAGTTTTACAACACAATATAGATATTTACACGACGGTCATTGGGGTTTTTTTCTACCATCTCATTTTTGAAAGGGAATTTACTTGCAGCTGCCAGCCTGAACATCAGCAGATTTTTTGCCTCTTGTACCTGTTGCTTCCATGGGTTCTGATTGGATTTCTGCTGCTGTGGATGGACAAGGGCTTCCACAGAGCCTTCCTCAAATGTACAAGGGTCACATGTGGTGCCAGGAGATCATCTTCAGGCTGTCTTCCGAAATGTTGGAAACGCCTCTGCCGCTTACTTCTACGAAAAAATAAACCAGTGACAGACAATGTGGCTGCAAGGGCTGAAGGTGGAGGCCAGGATGTGGGAAACTGTTGCTGTCCTTGTTGTCTTTGCTGCTGCTCGTTCCTAGAAAAGGCCTGCTGTCACCTCACATTCTGCACAAGTTCGTTACACTTCTTGCGAGCGTTCAGTGTGAGCTCCATCTGGATCGTGATCATGCTGCTGGATGGAGACTGGTGGGTCTGCTGCTTGAACGATGGATCCGATGATCAAATGCAAATCGCTTGTAAAGACCAGAAACAATTAAGACCAAGTGAAGAACTGATTGTTGCAAAATTAAAGAATACATCAAGGGTGAGTGTTTTTCACTTTACAATACAACTCCTCTATACTACCTGAGGTAGAGCACATGAATTATAAATGTTTGTGTTATTTGTTGTTTTTTGTTTCTTTCTTTAGATCTGTGGCTTGCTGGTGCTTGCAGCAATAGCATTCGTGTTATGCTTTGTTTCCTGCTCCTGTACCATGTGTTGCTGGCATAACACAGACACTGCTGATCTCATTCTGGAGAAAGAAGACAATGTGTTTTTGAAAAGTTTGGAACAGTTAGCAAACATAAAAACAGAGAAATGTTTTGATGAAATTAGCAGAGGGCAAGTACAGAAGTACCTCAACGGTGTGGACATGATCCAGTGGGATGATGAGACTATCCCTGTTGAAGTACAACTTATACAGGGGGAGGAACCTCAACCTGCACAGGGGCAGGTTTTGCATCCTCATCCACAGGGGACGGGGCAGGGGGTTGTTTTTCACAGGGTTGACAATGACGAGCCAGAAGAAATAGATCCTTTGAATAGGCCCCAAAGGGTCGGATCTACTGGGGTGGGCAGGAAATAGAACCCGAAACCACATTTTTGTATTTGATATTATATTCATTTATAAATTGGGAACCAAAGAGCATTTGATATAATAAAATAAAATAAATTTTATTTTAAAATTAAATAAAAAATAAATGAATAAATAAATAAATACATTTTAAAAAGGTGATTATTGTACACAAGGTTGGTTTGGCTAAGAGAACCAACAACATACCAACAAAGGAGCTAAGGAAAGGAGTCTTAAGGAAAAACATTCTAACAGTAATATTCAGAAATTGTTTTCTGACAAGCAAATAATTATATAATTTAAGGCTCAATTTAAAATTTTCTAAATGAAAAAAATAAAATAAAATAAAATAAATATATTTTAAAAAATAAAAAATGAAGTGCTCCTCTGTGTTTTTGAACTCCATACACTTTCTCTAGACTCATTTGGATCATTTGAGCCCTGGAATTACCAAACTCTGGAGGGACATCATTGTTTTAGCCTTGTTCACACTGCTTCACTTCTCTTTGCACCAGCAGATACTGTAGACTTTCTGTGGCTATTTCAACTGAACAAAGTTATAACAAAATTATTTTTATAATAATTACTGTATATATTTTTTATACTTTGTAGTGTTCAATAGTGGTTCGCAGTTCCAGGGCTGAAATTATCTAAATGATTCTACTGAAAGTGTATGAGTTTAAGTACACTGTAGAGGATTTCCTGTATTACCACATGACCTCACAAGGTGGAACAGAGTGTTTTCAGTTTGAGAGAAGAACTCAGCCTAAATATGCAGAATTTGTGGGTTAAACGTGTGAATGAAAGAAAACACAACTCCAGGCATGTCTGTGATGAGGAAACAACATTATAACAGATATCAGCGTAATACGGGCCTTTAAGTCTAAAAATAGTTTATTATAGCATGACTAAAAGTTCACACGAGTCAATTTTGTGTAATATAAGACCTTGATACTCATTGTAACTTGTCGTTTTTATGTTTTATGTACATGTATACAAGTATTTGAAATAAAAACACATCACAAAGCACCCATATCGTGTATCACTTTATCTGACGCGCGCTTAGAAAATGAAGCAGTCTCTTTAAACTCACATCTTCACCCCTCACTGCTCTCTTGATTGTTCGGCAGACGACGATTTAAAGCAATAGTGTAATCTCTCCCATTGTTTTGCATGGGTAAATATTTAGAGCCGCGTAATCTGACTGAACGTAATGGCGCATTGATGGGGTAATTTATTATTCAATCAGGCTCATGCGGAGTCTGATTACTCAAGTATATGTGTGTGCAAACAGCCCTCAGCCTGCCCCACTGAGTGATTTGGGGTCATTTGCATAATAAATAAAACATATGAAAGAGTACGCATCATCAGCGAGAGACGTGGCACTCTGGATCATGGTGCCGCTGACAGCGATCGAGTGAAGGGCTGTCGGGGATCGTCATAGGACAGGAGTGGTGTTGTGATGATGGCCTCTTGATGCGGGGTGGATTTTCCAGTTTGACAGAAAGGCGACGTAAGATAAACAAAAAATAAAAATGTCAGTCTTCTAGCATGCAAGCCAAAAACTGTATGTCATTTCTAGAGCGGTCAGGTTATTGAAACGTCTCACTAACTGTAGCCACAAATGAAAGGCTAGAGAGTAATTTGGAAATTCATACTTGGTCTTCAAAATGCAAATACTGCGTCAATCCAAAGAGGCGATCATGTTGCATAAGTGGGTTCGAAACAAAAACAAAAAGTGATGATGTCATACTTTGTTTCCAGCCTCATTCTAAATCATTCCTAGTTTTGTCTCTCAGCATTTTATGACTGTTTACATGAAAAAATATGATTGTTATGTGATTTCTGGAGTTATCGGATTATTGAAATGTCACGTAAACACATATTTAAGGATGAATTTGAGTTATTAAAACCCACACAAACACACACACACACATACACACACTGTACTTTGCCTTTCAGAACAGTCACTGTAAAAAAATCGCTAATTGATAAGTTAATTGTTTTGATAATCAGATTTCTTGTGGGCATGTAAAGACACAGCTAATCAGGACTGATTACATTTGGGTTATCTGAGTATCTGGTTATCTGGTTTCTGGTTCTCTGATTATTCTTTTTCCATGTATAATAATATAATGATAAAACAGCTTCCTGTTCTGCACCACAGAAAGCATTTACACCAAAAGCAGACAAAACTCCAGACAAAACACAACAATACACACACACACACACACACACACACACACACACAGGTCACAGTCATCCAAGCTTTTCAAAAAAATGTATTTAAGTTTATTGCTTGACATTAGAAAAGTAAAACCACAGCATACATGAAGAGAGATATATTTTATACTGTGGAAGACTATGGGACTGTTAAGTGTGATGTCACGTCCAGGTCCAAGGCTTCGACAATTAGCACATTTACAATTTAACAATTGATTTATTTTTTATTGTTTTAGCATAGACACATCTTGCATTAACAACATAGACTGCATATATGCATGGACAGAGCTAACGCGCTAGCTGCCATGTGCCAGAAAGGAACTTCGCCAGGAGGTTCTTCCGGTTCCTTCTGACTCTGGCTCCAACTGACTTACATTAGGATCTCTGTACTTGCTGCGGTGAGTCTCGTCATTTTGGTCTTAAAATGTTGGTATTAACCCGCTCTATACGATCCTGATTCCTTTCGGTATTTTGTCCGTCAAAAAAATCCTGTTCACAACATAGAGTCTGGCTCCAGATTTGTTCCTGTAACTGTTAGCATCGCGAGCCTCATTTGAGCGGCGCTCAACACTGTGGGTGACATCACACTTACTTAACAAGAGACTGCAGTCCCTGGAACCCGAACAAAGTGGGTCAGAAAGAGTTCAAGGCTGAGGTAAGAAGTAATGCTAAGCTAAGATAGCGTTAGCGTTAGTGGCAAATCTTATATTATGCTAGATTATTACTACATTATTTACATATTTGTCATGATTTGGCTTTTAACATATGTTTTTGAACGGTAACTGTGTCTTGTTTTATGAAAATAAAACAAAACATTTGGCATCTTCCAGGCCAAATAAGAGCCAGGTTTGTGGAGATGCAAGCCCACTCACAGAAAGAACATTTGTTTTTCCAGTGTCAGTGTCAATACGGCACGGTGGCTGAGTGGCTAGCATTCATACCTCACAGCAAGAAGGTTCTGGGTTCGTTCCGGTTTCCCCCATCAACCCAAAACATGCTACAGGTCTATTAAATACATACATTGTGTGTCCTTAGGCAAGACACTTCACCCACATGGCCTAGTATGAAAGTGTGTGTGAGTGATGGTGGTGGTCGGAGGGACCGATGGCACCAAGTGGCATGGCAGCCGCTCTTCTGTCAGTGTGGCCCAGGGTATAGAGTGAATAATGCTGAATGAATAATGCTGAATAATGCCCTGTAAAGTGTCTTTGGGGACAGAAAATGTCTGTGAAAAGCGCTATACAAATAAAGACTAACTTACTAATACAAACAACCACAAGGAGACATTTTTTGGCTAAAATTGACATAGTGCTGGCTTAAACAGAGGTGGACATCATGAAACTGCTAATGTGGAGAATTAGGAACTTCCCTCCCTCCTCTTTGTCCCTCTCTCTCTCTCTGATTTAAAGTGGATTTAAAGAATAGAAAAGCTTTGAGCACACAACAGAACAGAAACGAGAGCTCTCCACAGTCCCCGTACATCCTCACACACACAGTGCACTGGGTAATAAGGGGCCGGTGGTTGAAGGTGAGATTGCCGGTCCCCTCCATGTTCACTGGACCCCTCTGGCTTCTGCCCGCCTTCCTCACAGCCAGACTATCTATATGCTAAGTACCCCCTCTTCTCCAGACCACACTATTCTCTGTTCTCTGCTCCTGTCTTCACTTATTTGGCCCCAGAATCCACAACAGGGGCCCTCAGAATCTTTGTACTACGTCATTTGTGGGTTTACTGGAGAATTTTAGATTAATTTCGCTTTTGATTATCACTTTTTGTTGTGCAGTTTGCTCAGATTACGAAGGCATAGATTAGGATTCATAATGAGTAACTAAGAAGGTTGGCGGTCCGATCCCGAAATACCAGAAATGCATATTATTGTTGTGTCCTTTGGCAAGACAGTACACTTATGTTTGTCTTGCTTCACACTTGCTGATTTGTAATATCTTTTTCACGTTGTCAAAAACATAAAAAAAAAAAAAAAAAAGAATATTAAACAAAAAAAAGGAATATTGTGGTTGTGCCATTGGGCAACACACTTTCTCCATCTTACTATATGTATTACTGTAAACCTTTTCTGTCCGTCTCACAATACGCACTCATAGATTTTGGAGTTTGGTTGGTTTCATAGTAACACAGGTTGGTGGTATGACCCTGGCTGTCTGCATTGCATTACCATTGTGTCCTTGAGCAAGACACTTCACATGCTCTCTTTAAAAATACTTGACTTGCATCTTTCTCAGCTTGTCAAAAAAATATAAATAAATAAATAAATCCAAAATCATTTTAAGTAAATAGTTCATATAAATATTTAGTGATTTGACTACTTTGGCTTTGCATAATATTGTTGTCCTTGGGCAAGACACTTCACCCATCTTACCTGTATGAAAATGACCCACACCCACCCATATCGCCATTTCTCACCACCTACTGAAATGGCATATTGAGGTTGTGTCACTGGGCAAGACACTTTTTGCATCTTAAAGGTTTTTATTTCTCAAAAACAAACACTTGGAAGTTTTTCAAATTACTTAAACCTAATAAAGTTTGTAATAAAACAAAGCAGTAGCTTAGTTGGCTCCAATATAACTCAAAGGTTGCCGGCGTTGCTTTATCATTGTGTCCTTGGGCAAGACACTTCATCTTACTTTTATCTGTTTGTCTCATAAAAAATGCTTTCTGGGTCCTTGCATGTTGTTTCTCATGGTTTCTTTTTAAACCATAGCTAAAGTTAATGTGCTTCTATGGGTATTGCAAAAGATTGTTGTGTCCTTGGGCAAGACACTTCATCATACCTACCTATATGAAAAAGAGTGATTACAGTGTAAGATACAGTATATGAGATGTTTTAGAGCACAGGTGTCAAACATAAGGCCCGGGGGCCGGATCCGGCCCTCCAAGACCTTTAATCTGGCCCTTGGCAGATTTTCTACTAAAATATTTTAGCATCTCCAGCGTCTCTGTACGTGGCCCCTCCCACCAGAGCAGCACAAATGAAGACTTGTCTCTTTCCAAACGCTCTTAAAGGACGATCGTTTTGACTGTTGACCGTGACACCCTCATCAACAAAATATCAAAAATGAGAAAAGCGGACGCCGAGTGCAGAATTTTCCAAAAAACGGACTTACTCCTATCTGCATACAAGTTAAAGTGAAAACTTTGTGTTGAAATTGTATTTTTCTTAAAGTTTCAGGTTGTTCATAATATTATAATATTTTATAAAAGAAAGAGTTCATCAATTAAAAAAGATTTCTGTAATAGATTTGCATTTCTCTGCACAAATATTTGAACTTAATATTATTTTGGGGATTATATACCATGAGTTTTCTGATCCGGCCCCTTTGGGATCAAAGTAGGTTGGATATGGCCCCCGGACCAAAATGAGTTTGACACCCCAGTTTTAGAGGATTGAGAAACGAACATTCTGCCCTACAAAGGCAAAAGAGCTTAACTCACCAGAGTGTGAAACTGAGAAAAATAACTTCAAAGTTTGTTTTGTCTAGACAAGAGTATAATAGGTTTGGTTCCCAAAATTTGACAACTAGTTGATATAATGAAGAAGTATTTGTATGTAAAAATGAGTGAGCTCAAAATGGACCTTTGACCCTTATTTGTCAGTTCCTGTTCTCTGCCTTTGTATCATGAAACAAAAATAAGTTTTTGTGCAAAGGCAAAGGCAGAAACTGACATGATTATTATTATTTGCTTGATTTTGCTCAGACTTCCATCCATTATAAAAACACCTCACCCAGGTCAAGTCATCATGGAGTTTGTTTGAAATGATCTAGAAGAGCTTTGGATTTCCTGGTTAGTTCTGATCAGGATCGTGCGGCGACACTTTAAACACAGTGAAACAGTTTGACAGACAAGTGACTTTGCAGTATAGTGTGTACAGTATGAGTAAATACACCAAATACTTTCACTTTAAAGATCATTGAAGTATAACTGAATACAGTGTTTTATTTACTGAATGTGTTAAGACCCTCTGCCAAGGCCAAAACAAAAAGAAAGGAGTCATGGTTCATGTTTTGTAGTCGTTGTTTTTGCTTATTTTGGTTTCTCTTTTTCCTGTAGTGCTGTGTGCCTTTGGTGTTTTATTTTGACATTTGTTCCTGTCAGCTTCTAGTTTGGAGTTTGACTTCCTGTCTGTTGATTGTTTGCCCTGCGCTAATGTGTTACACCTGTACCTGTGTGCTTATAGACCCTCTGCCGTTTGGTTGCTCCATTGTCTTTGTCTTGTCCAGTATCATGTCTGTTGTGGTTTCTATTTTTGGATTTGGTTTCTTCAGTTTTTTTGGTTTTGATACATTAAAAAACTGAAGCAGTCCTGCATTTTGGATCCTCCGTTTGTTTCCATGTGACAGAAGGAGGTAAGAGGTTGGATTTTAAAACAAAATATATTTATGAGCTAAATCACAAACAAAACATACACTGTTTCTGCCTTTTGCCTTTGCACAACTCCTTATTTTTGTCTCATGATACAAAGGCAGAAGGAACTGACAAATAAGGGTCAAAGGTCAATTTTGAGCTCAATATTTTTCACAATACAGTGGTCCCTCGTTGATCATGGGGTTACATTCTAAAAATAACCGGTGGTAGATGAAATCCGTGAAGTAGTCAGCTTTATATTTTACAATGATCATATCTGTTTTAAGGCTGTAAAACCCCTCACCACACACTTTATACACTTTTCTCGGACAGGACAGTTAACACTTTTACATCCTTCTTAAAATTTATTGCTGCTGTTGTCGTTATGTTATTTTTCTCCTTCTTTATGTAACGAACCGAAGATTAATTTATTCTGTAATGGAGCCCTAGAGCGCAGAGTCCGGCACCATGCAGTACAACGCCGCACCCGCCCGTTAACCTTAGATTATATGAAACTTTTGCAGTGCATACGACACAAATTGAACCAAGACTAAACCAGGACTAACCCAGGACTAACCTAAGACTGATTCCAGAACTGAAGAGGAGGACTAAACTAGGACTAAAACAGCAATAAACCAGGATTAAACCAGACTAAACCAGAACTGAAACAGGACTCACTGTCGGGACATGCTTGGAGGTGACCGTAGGAGAAAGGCCCAGCTCAGCACCGCACCTCATGAAGGTAAAGGTGGCCGTAGCCGATCGCGCTTTACAGACACCCTGCTGTGCGGGCTCACGGTCCTGGTTTCAGCAACTATTTGCGGATACCCGACCCAGTGTAGGACTCTGCTATAGCGCATAACTTCTACCTTCCTTCAGTGTTTCCAGAAGTCCAACTTTTTGTGTGATGGTTTACATCTTCCTCTGCCTTTTGGGTGCGAGCACAGGAGCCTTTGTCAGTGCAGAAGGTTTCGTCGACATTGTGGGTTTTGTCGAGGGGAGAAACTTGCAAATATACAGCACTTCAGAATCACACTGATACAGATCCAACATTTATGTAAATTTGGCATCTGAATGCATTCTGTACTGTACAGGAGACAGGAGTCCTTTAGCCAATCAGGACACAGCGGGAGCAATGCAATACATGTTCAATACACTGTAAAAAAGACATGCAAAATTGCACTAAAATAATCCACGAAACAGCGAGACCGCGAAAGTTCAACCACAATATAGCGAGGGACTACTGTATTTATTCACCTGATGAAGGAGGTCTCAAATACAAACAAAATTACATGAACTCATTTTTGACCAAACATGATGTTAAGGTGATCTGTCTTTGTAGGACAGTTTTACATTTATGGGTTTCAGAATTATGGTAAATTAGGGTCCTTGCCATAGAGATTACAAATAAAAACTAAATTACATTTGTTTCAATTGGAAAAGTTGTGGAAATGTTACTCTTACATTATCAGTAGCTCACAGAAAGTACACTTACACACGTATATAATAGTTTGTACAATACAGTAGATTTCTTAAAGGCCACTGACCTCTGTTTTATCTCATCCCATACTTGTAATTACAGATAATCTTCATTCTTCTCTGTAGTCATGTGATTATGACCCCAGCAGTGCTCATACGCCCTCCACATACATACACGCCCTCCCCATACATACTCACGCTGTTATCGTAATAAATCAGCCCAGCGATCATGGTCCATTATGATGAAATTCCTTTATCAGTGGAGCTAAAAGATTTGTGTGTGTGCGACCTTCTAGCCTCCATCTTCCAGACCTCCTGAAGAAACACATGTTCAGATATGATATAAGTCTTGTGTGAAAAACATACAAACATACAAACAAACAGGAAATCAAAAAAGGCAACAAATTCCAATAAAAATTAAAGCTGCATTGTGTAATTATCTAGTGTCGGTTGCTTTTCTTCATTGAAATCTTATTGCTTTGTCTGGAATGTTTTAGTATGGTATTAAAACTTTCTATGTTCACGGAGACCAAAACAGACAAAGTTACAGGTCAGATCTGTGGAGAGGCGACCCTGCTCACACTCAGAATGTCTGTTTTTCTAGGTATTTATGAGCTATAAAACCACCTGTAATTGAATAAATGACATATCCATAAAAACAAGCAGGTAATGGACTCCCAACCAAAATTAAAATTAAAAAAGTTACCATGTTAGAAGATCATGTTTCTTTGGTTCAACAACAAGCAAAACCAAACTACAAGCTGACATGCCAACAAACTAAAGAAAAGCAACGTTAACAAAAACAAAGTGATAAAATAAAACAACAAAAGTATCTTAAATTATTGGCTGGTTGCTCACAAGCTCTAAGATTAGCAGACTGATCCCAACAACCGGCGTTGCGTTAAAACTTTTCATTCCATTTCACTGCATAATTGTGCTTATTTTTATCTATCTCACAACAAATCATTAAGAGGTAGATCTTAACTTAAACTACCACTACATGACATCACAAATTGGAACAGAACATTTTGAGGTTTGGAGATGTGCACAGACCAATAAAAAATCATGTATGAATGAAAAAAACCACAACTCCAGGCATGTTTCTGAGAAGGTAATAATATTCTAACATGATTTAAAGCTTATAAAAGTAAATTTGTGTAATACAGAAACAAACAAAACAATAAAATACATGCAAAATCTTTTTAAGTATATAGAGACTTAGAATAAATAGTAAACTTGTGGCACTAATCAGAAAGTTGGTCATTGCATAATATTGTTGTGTACTTGGGCAAGACACTTAATCCATCCTACCTCTATGAAATTATCAGTATCCTTAAAGATGAGTTGGGGGTCTATTGCCTGCTTGTTTCTATGAATATGTAACTGTCTGGAATGTTCCACAGTATGACATTAAACAGCTCTACCTTACATTTATTTACCTTATTATTTATTTACAGGTGGTTTAATCGCTCAAAAATACCTAGAAAAACTGGCATTATGTGAGCAGAGTTGCCTCTCCACAGACCTGACCTGTAATTGACCTGTCTGGTTTGGTCTCCATGAAGATAGAAATGTTTGATACCATACTGTGAAATATTCCAGACAAGGCGATAACATCTCCATGGAGAAAGCATCTGACGGACCTTCCACCAGGAAAGTTAAAACCTTCCTTTCTTCTTTTTTTTCTTTCTCCTCCAGGGCTCAGAACATCTTCCGCCAGGCCATGCGCTCCCGCTTCATCCTCTTCCACGTGGTCCCGGCGTCTCTGAAGAAGCACTTCGCTGTGTTCACGGGTCAGGGAGAGCTCAGTCCGCCCCAGCCCAACAGGGTGCGCTTCAGCCAGGACACGCAGCACGGCAGCGGCACCAGAACCAGCCTGGTGGGGGCGCTGTCCACGCAACGGGCACCGGCGCCGGCACCAGTCAGCTTCAACCACAAGTGGGTGCTCGTACTATTGATACATCATCACGCTGGGGGTGTTCTATAATGCATTTCTGTTTGTGGAATGTTCAGCAGTTACCATGGGGACACATTGTACACTCAGGGGTCTCCAACCAGTAGCTCTCCACCGCCTTCCTAGTAGCTCACATATTGTCCTAAATAAGTAAAATTTGATTAATTAAATGCCTATTACCATTTTGCATGTATTATTTTGATGCCTAACTTTGTGCACTAATAAATGGATACTTGTTTATGTTTTGTAGGCATCTAACTGTACCTCATTTAAGGCTCATTATGGCACTTAAACATACTCCATTTTTTGTGACTTTCTTGTGGCATTTTGGTTTTGTAAAGGTAGCTCACTGGAGGAAAAAGTTTGGAGACCCCTGATGTACACAGCTGCAAAGACAGACAAAAAAGTTTGACGATCGTCTTAAAACACAAGAAAAAATACAAAATGGATTTGCACAAGTACATTTTCAGGAGCCTGTGATCAATCCGAGTGTTCATAGCTAACTTTGTGACTGTAATTTTATTTGTGAGCGACTTGTTTAAATCACAATTCATCACCTGTTGTAGTCCCAAACAAGTCAGCTCTTTATGGTTTGGATTGTGTTAAAATAAAGCTCAGATTAAGGTTACGTTTACACTGAAACAATCACCGAATCACTGTATCGGAAACGAGTTGCATCCAGACACGTTGTTTCTGTTTCCACAATCAAGGCCCTCCTTATCCACACAGTAACGTGAAACTGCCTGAAATGCTAGTCACACGATTAGGCTGGTGTCATGTCGCCACTTCATCACAACGTCACATGGACAGTGAAAACAAGGAAGTGGAGTACCGTGTCTGAAGTTGCAGCAGCTAAATTCGAGCCGAGGAAGATGGCAATTGTAAAAAAAGTCTTTTCTACTAGCAAGTAGTTCTAGCTCCGCTGTTTCCCGTTTGTCTATGGTTTGTTTAAACTGTTTTCCACAATAGCGTCACATGACCGATGTCAGGAACCCAGAGAATCAGGAAGGTGCATGTCACAGTGACGATGTCCAATAAGGACGCAGCTAGAGCTCTTACATCAGTGTATCAGCGTTTTCAGGCGTTCACACAGCGCCGGATCAGATCAGCACTCAGATTAATTCATGGGAGCTGGAGGCACCAGATCGTTCCGTCTCTGGAGCTGTTTTCCATCAGATTAGAACACTGCATCCACAACCAAAACAACTTGATCATACATACTAGTGTGGATGGGGACCAAGTCTAATTTGAATCACAGAGCTTCTAACAGAGCAGTGCCTTCAGTTAGCTTCACACCCTTAGGGAATGTGAATAAAATCAGCTGCAAAGTGTCAATAGTAGTGAATAACAGCTTATAAAATGACAATATTGTAATAACACGGTGGTACTTGTATCACACTTTATATTCGGGACCACCATTAAGAGCAAGTTAGTAGTAAAACACATAATAAGTGCTTAATTTCATCTTTGTTAATATTTATAAAGTACTTTGAATGCATTTTTGTCTAAGGCTGTATTTTGTGAGTACTAACCCATGAAGTATTTTCTTTCCATTACAGTAGTGGAGATTACAATAGATGTTTTTGTGAATACACTGAAATCTTAATAAGCATTAATAAGTGTTTGATTAATACCAGTTTATAGCCATGTAACAGCTAATTAGCATACCAATTACCACTTAGTTAGTGATTAATATGTGGCCCCTAAACTAAAGTGTTAGCCATTTTTCTTTTGGTTAAGGTTTAGAAACATTTATCTTCATCTAGTGATCTTATGAATATTCTGCAGGAGTCTAGCAGAGCATTATACAGCAGCATGCATGTCCGAACCTCAGCCCAGGGGCCAAATGTAACCCTCAAACTCATTTTTCTTGGCCCTCAGGCTTCCAGTTACCTTAAGCAGTACTTTTTACGCCAAGTCTCTGAAAAGCTACCTTGATAAAGCCTGTATTAAATATTTAGTGTGCCCTAGGATCTAAGCATGGATAAAGGTCAGGTGACTCATTCTGACTTGTTAAAAATGCACATGTTTGAATTATTCACTGTATTGAACACCAGTCCGTGGCCCCTGATCGGCCCTCCAGTTCATCTGTGTTTTGATGTCCTTTCCTTGATGAAAAAAGTTTGGACTCCAGTGCTGTACAGTATTATTTTTTTATTCACTTTCTTTCAGCTTTCTATTTTCCTCACAGTCATTTCTTGCCCGCTGTCTCCTTCAGTAACCACCCGGCTCCGCTGTCAGGGAGTACCCCAGAGACCGCCCGCAGGTACGCCACACTACCCCCCAACAGGACGGCCAACGCCCCCTCCCCAACGCTCCAGCGCCGAGTCAGCACCTCCGCAGCCAGCAACTCCTACATGAAGACCAAAGGAAGGAAGTTCAGCGTGCAACTGAAAAAAGGTCAGGAAACTCCCCCATCGATCAAAATGTTGAAAAGTTGAACTTGGTGGAAACATGATATCAAACACTGTTGTGTAGTAGTATGGCAGCCACATTGACATTATGGCGTTTGCATAGGGTGACCAAACGTCCTTGTTTACCCGGGACAGTCCCAGTTTTGAGCCTTGTGTCCCCTGTCCCAGCACGTTTATACAAAACCAGTGATTTGTCCTAGTTTTATACAAGAAATGTCCCAGGTGTCCCTATTTTTGACCAGTTTGATCTAAACCAGGACTAAACTAAGTTTAAACCTGGACTACATCAGGTCTAAACTAGGACTAAAACAAGACAATCACAATTCTTGACTAATCTGATCCTGCCAACAGAAAAGAGGAACATAAATTGTCATGTGTTTTGCCAAAATACATAGAGAAAAACACACTGCACACCATCTTATTTGCAAAATGTGAAATTTATTAGGACAAACTGCAACGTTTCGGCACTAGGCCTTCATCAGGCAAACAGAATGAGAGTTCAGGTGACCATCTTAAAAAGGGTGTGGTAAGCACCCAAAGGTGACTGTTCATAAAGGAACAGTGTACCCAAAACACCATAATACAAAAAACACAGTAGAAAAATCATTGAATAATAATTGAAAAATAATACAGAAAAATACAGATACATTGCCAAAATACAGAAATCTGTATTTCTGAATGACCGTAAAGCCAAAAAAAAATAAAATAAAAAAATGCAGCAACAGAAATCCCTCGCTCTTTTTTGTTTATACCAACCATCCCAACCTGGACGTGTCCCAGTTTCGGGTTTTGAAAATCTGGTCACCCTATGTTTGCAGTTAGTAGTGGAGGCTAACTTTTATAATTGTTTTGAAAAGAAATTACAGTGAACTAGCTACATATTTCTGAAGAGTTACAATCCGTGTATCATTCGTTCATTCGTTTTTCAATATAAAACCAAAAATAAGAAAACGAAAAAACAACAGTTTTCTTCGTTATTTGTCTCCAAAACCAAAATGAAAAAACGGATAACGATTCGTTTTTTCAGTTTTCGATTTTGTGTTTAAATGAAGAATGGAAAAAACGGATAACGGCCGTTTCCCGTTTACGTGACTTCCGTGACTGCAATGCCGGACTTTTGCACCGGGTACGGACTGAACCGGGACTGATCCAGGTCCGAGACCAGACCGGGACCAGAGCGGGACTGAGACCGGGACCAGACCGGGACCAGGGCGGACTCCGAGCTTTGACTCCGAGCCTCCACGGGGTCCGAGCCTCAGCTTCGAGCTCCGGCCCTGCCGTGGGCTCTGAGCCTCCGGTCTGGTCCCGGTCTGGTCCTGGTCTTGTCTCGGTCTCGGTCTCATGCCCGCTCTGGTCCCGGTCTGGTCCCAGTCTCACCGCATACGGACTGAATCAGGACGGATCCAGGTCCGAGACCAGACCGAGACCAGAGCGGGACTGAGACCGGGACAGAGCTGCTCTGGTCCTCCGCGCTCAAGAACCGCGGCTGGTTCCGAGGTGGAGCAAAGCCTCCGACTGACGCATTCACACCAACGAAAATGAATCGAACTAAGAGCTTTTGGTTCAAATGGACCAGGTCCGGGACCAGACCGGGACCAAAGCGCTACTGAGACTGGGACCAGACCAGGACCAGAGCGGGACTGAGACCGGGACCAGACCAGGACCAGAGCGGGACTGAGACCGGGACCAGACCAGGACCAGAGCGGGACTGAGACCGGGACCAGACCAGGACCAGACCGGGACGAGAGCGGGCATGAGACCGAGACCGAGACCGAGACAAGACCAGGACCAGACCGGGACCAGACCGGAGGCTCAGAGCTCGAAGCTGAGGCTCGGACCCCGTGGAGGCTCGGAGTCAAAGCTCGGAGTCCGCCCTGGTCCCGCCCTGGTCCCGCCCTGGTCCCGCCCTGGTCCCGCCCTGGTCCCGCCCTGGTCCCGGTCTGGTCCCGGTCTGGTCCCGGTCTGGTCCCGGTCTCAGTCCCGCTCTGGTCCTGGTCTGGTCCCGGTCTCAGTCCCGCTCTGGTCTTGATCTGGTCTCGGACCTGGATCAGTCCTAGTTCAGTCCGTACCCGGTGCAAAAGTTCGGTATCGCAGCCACGGAAGTCACGTAAACGGGAAACGGCCGTTATCCGTTTTTTCCATTCTTCATTTAAACACAAAATCGAAAACTGAAAAAACGAATCGTTATCCGTTTTTTCATTTTGGTTTTGGAGACAAATAACTAAGAAAACTGTTGTTTTTTCGTTTTCTTATTTTTAGTTTTATATTGAAAAACGAATGAACGAATGATACACGGATTAGTTACAGTACTAACTTGGCAGTGTGTAATGTTTGCTTTAACATCAAAAATTGTGTCAGCTGATATCAAATTTAGCAGTCAAGTACAAGGCCTACAATTAACAGCAGAAACTTGTTGAGGCAAGATATAAGCTCTGTACTCTATATAGGATGACCAGATGTCCCTATTTATTCAGGACAGACCCAGTTTGGAGCCCTGTGTCCCTGTTCCTGCACATTTATACAAAACTGGTGATTTGTAACAGTTTTATACCCAGCTGTCCCTATTTCATGTTTTCATAATTTTATTTATACCAACCATCCCAACCTGGATGTGTTCCAGTTTCGTGTTTTGAAAATCTGGTCACCCTATGTTTTTAGTTAGTAGTTTTACATAAGCATACAAGTAGAAGGCGTACAATTAACAGCGTAAAGTTGTTGAAGCAAGACATAAGCTCCGTATTGTATACAGGGTGACCAGACGTCCCTATTTACCCGGGACAGTCCCAGTTTTAGTCCCCTGTTCCAGCAGATTTATCCAAAACCAGTGATTTGTCCCAGTTTTCTCTATTTTTGACCAATTTGAGACCTGCCAACAGTAAAGAGAGGCATAAATTGTCATTTGTTTAGGTAAAATATACAGAAAAGCAGCTTAAAGATGACCAAAACACAAAGAAAATGTGACTATTGCCTCACATGTTGGTCATGAATGGTCTCTGCATAACAATTTTCCTTAATTTCACAATTTTATTATTACCAACCATAAAAAAAATGGGGATGTCCCAGTTTTTTATGTTGAAAATTCTGGTCACCCTGTCTCTATAATGCCAAGCAACATGTTTGGAGCTTTTCACAGCTGAAGCAGTGCCATAGGATTAAATTGAATAAAAACTATAATAAAACATAATGACATTTAAATTGGTTAAATGCAGATTTTGTCAACTTTTTCTTCTGAAACGGCACTAAAACTAGATAATCTCCCATTGCCAGCTCTCGTCAGCTGCATGTCAAATGAAGCGAATGTGCAGAGAGTCGGTGTGGTTCGGCGTTCAGCTCTCCCAGGCAGCAGATGTTGGGTTAAACCTGGCATGGAGGCCCTGGTTGGCGCAGAGCTGGGGGAATAGTCAGACTACAGTGGCGTGGTTCTGACTCACTCCAGGGAGATGCACTCACAAACTCTGCTAATACGTTTGGCTCGGGTCCCTGACTAGACTCAACGCGGTGCTGTTTCACAGACAGACAGATGACAAATGATTTAGTTATAGTAAAGTTTGTTTTTCAGCAATTGGCTTAGTTTGTGTGGAATGTGGCGATGAATCTGGATATGCAGTGATATGATGGTAATACTTTTTTTTATGGTGGAGTCTTAGAATGCCTTCAAAATTGGGGCTAAACTGGGACTAAACCAGGACTAAAGCAGGACTGAAGCAGGTCTGAGCCAAGTCTACATCAGGACAAAACTGGGTTCAAACCAGGACTAAGAGTAAATGCCCCCCTTAAGTGCACACCACATCAAAACTGGGACTACACCTTGAACTAAACCTGAACTAGAACAGAAATGAAACGGGACTGGAACAGGTCTAAACCAAGTCTACGTTAGGACTAAAATGAGTTCGAACCAGGACTAAGTGTAAATGCTCCCCTTAAGTGCACACTACATCAAAACCGGGACTAAAAATGGAACTAAACCTGAACTAGAACAGGACTAAAACAGGACTGCATCAGGATTAAACTGGGCTTGAACCAGGACTAAGTCCTTAGGTGCACACCACATCAAACCTGGAACTTAACACACAACTAAAACTAAACTAGACCGACATTAAAACATTGCTGGAACAGTCTGTGGAAATGTCTTTTTGTTCAATATGATGGGTGACCAGCTCCTTAGTTTAACATTTGTCATTGAAATAAATAAATCTGACTGGCCAATCATTCTGGTTGGTTCTGGCCATCATCACAGATCATTCTGGACTTGCCAGATTAGGCCAGCAACACTCAAATATGTAGTAACTTGCATGGTCCATAACTTGCACTTAGGGTCATGCAGAAATTCATATTCACCCAACAAAAAATCAACATCCCACAAACTCTACCCCATAAAGTTTCTGAGCTTTGCTGTAAATTCTAAATATAAACTGAGGTGGGTAGAGAAGCCCAAAAGTGTACGCAAGTAAGAGTAATGTTGCTTAGGAATTAGATCTTACTATAATTACTAAATAATTATATTACTCTAATTATATTACTCAAGTACAAGAGTAAAGTCTGGATATAACATCAGGTTCATAATGTAAACAAAATCTAATTTGAATAACACAAATTTTAAAAATTCAAAGAATAGACCAATAAGTGAGACAAACTAAATCATATCTGAAGGAATGGTGCAAGAAACAACCATTTATTTAGGTTGAAAACCTTTCGCAGCTCACCCAAGCTGCTTCTTCAGTTCTGGTCAGATGCTGGTAGACACTTCCTGATATCTGCTGAAGGGAGGAGTTAACTACTCTGAAACTAACGTTACAGTTTCTGTTAGTTAGCTCGGCCTATTGAGCTTGCACTGAGTGTGGGGTCATAATCATTCAGGGCCATAATGGGTGTTTTCACAACTCTGTGAAAAGAATTCTGACCAAAACTGAAGAAGCATCTTGGATGAGCTGTGAAACGTATTCCATCACAATAACTACCTGTTCTACCTGGACGACTGAAGGATTT